ATTCATATACAACTTAATGAATATTCTTGCACTTAGTTTGATATTGACCAACTTGTTACTTAAAAACAGTGGGTTTGCCTTTTTAGAATTGGGCTACACTTGCTTCAACTGATGTGATAGATGAAACTTTATGCTAGTGTGTGGTTTAGTATGTTTTCTGTAATATAATAGTCAGATATTGAAATTTGAATTAGATTTTAGATGTATGAAATCTGTGGTGAACTTACTAACAGTTATGAGGTACATCTTCGGAGTGAAAACTTGAATGGAACATAAAACATAGTTCTGTTTTGTCACATTGATTTGTCTTAGTAAATGTAAACATGTTGTTGTTTTCTCTTTATTTTACAAAATATATAATAATTTTTGAATATGCATGTTTTTATATTTCTAACGGTTTAATAAAACCTTACTGATGTTATTAATAAGTCCAACTGCGTATTAACCATATCATATCGGGCATTATTGTTGTTGTTTTTATTAAATGTAAACTTTTAAATGAGTGCTAACTTATTCAGACTGTGTACATGTTGGTGAAATTTTTCACATTCTCAACATTTATGCCATGAAACAATTAAACCACCATAGAAATGTTACTCATACAATACAATCTGAAAATAGTTCAACATTTCTTAACGTCAACCTTATTACTCATCACAGATGGTGTACATTTTTGAAATGAAATCCCCCCCCCCCAAAAAAAAAAGTCAAAATGACGTTTTGGAAGCAGAAGGTGGTTTTATGTTTGATGTTTAAAATTCAGTCAATTTTTTTATTTTCTCCTGAAAAATCACAACTTTCTTTTTAAATATAAAGATAAAAAAGACAATTTTTTCATCGTTTAGTTGCGTTTTGTAATGTATAATAAAATGTTTAAATCACAGCTGACTAAAATTGGCTTTATAGTCTTAATGTCAATTTTTGAACAACTTCAGGATGAATGTTTTTTTGTTTTTTGGCTTCAAAATCTAACCTTGTGTTTTCATTGTACTTCAAACAAGCTTATTGAGCATGTGAGAAGTTATTTTTATTTGGTGCCCAACATATACTTTGTTTACATTTAAAATGAGTTTTACCCTCAAATTATCACCTTGTTTATGTACCATTCCTTATTAGTGAGATCCACATATTGAGCAGTTTGATTTTTTTTTTTCCAATTACAACACTTGTGTAAAGAACTGACAAAAAAAAATTGTGTTCAATTTTTCATTTTCTGAGTAAAAAACATAGGAAACCCCAGCACTAATCAGTGGGATTAATGTAACATTATTAATACTTTTTTGTATGCTATTTTGTGTCTTGTATATTATTAGGGACCTTGTAACCAATACCACAATTAAATTTGGATCATGTGGACCATGTCAGTATTAGGGTTAATGATATATTGTGTGTTAATTACTATGTGTTAGTTAATTTGATTTTATGTTTAATATACCATGTTCACCTCGTGTAAAATATGTTATTGCTTTCCAACTTTAAAACTCAACAGAATGCTATACTTTAAATATTGGCATGGAAAACATATTTAGCATTTTCTTCAGGAGGAGCAAAATATTTATATTTCCAATTTCCATGCGGAGCTTACACTAATTTTTAAGATGAAAGTTTTAGGAAAACACAAACAAGTAGTAATGTTTTTAACATAATGTTAAATTTTTCTGCTGTAATATAACTACTGTGAACTTTCTGTAATTATTGTTAAATAGTTTTGTATTTATTTATTAATTTTTTTTTATAGCTTATCACATGGGTTAATACAATGATCTGGTGACAAAGCTGGTTCATACAAATGTTTTGTTATTAGCATCTTTTAGTTTTTTTTTTAATGAAAATATTAAATCTGTCATCAAATTTTATTACAGATGTTTTATTTTTCATGAACCAAGAAGGGAAGACACTACATTATACTTGTGTGATGATAAAAATGTTCCAAATATTTTTCTAATTACTTTACTTAAGTAATAAATCACATTTAATTATCTACTACATGGTACTGCTGTATAGCTTTTGAATTAATGAATTTACTAAAAATTGTATAAATTTTGGAATATTAATGTCTATCGTGAAGTTTGTTTCCAGAAATACTTTTGCTGTAGTTTCTGCATGCATGTTTGATGAATTTTGATTTTCATAGCTAAGCTCGGGCATTAATTGTTTTATAGAATAATTGGATCGAAAATTTAAATTTTGTATAAATGTATAAGAAATGGCCTCACATAAAGAAGATGCTGAAATTACCTTGCGAATGAGTGAGAGAATAAAAAGTTTTTACTGGTTTTGATAGACAATTAATAACTAGATGGACAAAAGGTTACTTATAGCTAAAAAAACAAGAGGTTTTGAAACCTGTAAACATTTTTTATGAATATGAAGTAAACTTCTGATACTCGTTTATCCAGTTTCTCATTTGATATCAGCTTTCTACTGTAACTATAGCTTTTATTGTAACATCCACCATTATAAGAGACTACAGTAATACTGTCAAGTATTATTTACTTATGAATAAAACCAAAACAGTGCACCTTTACTACCAGTAAACATCTTTGTTGTAATGTTGTTATTTCATTGGCAGGTTGTGTTAAATCATCTGGTGATAATAATTCAACTTCCTGTCCACATAACAATAACAGATTAGTTATATTTCCTACTTAACATTTCTTTACAGGCTTGCACACTTTGTAACTTTTTGTAGGCCAACATTTGCAACCATAATATCTTCACTACACTAACGTAAAAATCAAGTTACTTGTACAGAATCACTCAACATGCTCTATGTTTAACACTGACTGATTCTCTATATTGCCTACCAAACAACTCTCTGTCTTCTGGTTCTTAACTGTTTCACTGCAAGCTTACTTAGCTTATTGATTGGCTCACCAATATTTATATTTAATAATTGTTCTAGATATTTTCAAAGCACCTCATTCATTAATATTCCTGAATATTCTAGGACTAAATTGACCTTAATGTCGTGCAGACTCTAGCTAACATCTAAATTAAAACACAAAATATAACTTATGACAGTACAAATGACTTTTCAAGGCTGCAGGATTACACTCCTTCAAGTGCAAGTGAGCCTGGATTCTGTGATCAGTAGGTACAGAGTACGTACCTAAAAGAATTTATGGGTTTTGTGATCTATTAACATACTTTTTTTTAACACAATTTTTATATATATATGGTTAAATTTGGGATTTATCATCCAATAAAATAGTTATATTTAAAAATAGTTATATATTATATTTTGATGATGATTGTTTTGTTTAAAATGTTAATTTGGTTTGGTGTTTACATTTGGAGTTTGGGAGGTGAATATCACAAATTGGAACATTTATTGAAACAACTATTAATATCATCACTGTAGATTGGTTTGTTGTAAGAAGTGGGTAAATTTTTGCAGGGTATGTGAATATTATCCCTACCTTTGTTTGGGAAGCTGTTTTTTCATGTAACAGTATATTAAATATTTTACTGTAGTTAATGTATAGAATTTGGTACATAGTACTATCTCTAAAACCATTTACTAGTACTGCATACTAGATGAAATTTACTCCTGGTGAGGGATTACAGTTGTTTATTGTACTAGTTTTTTTTTGTCGACTTCTAATATATTGAATACAAGTTTATGCATATTATCTTGTCTGAACTACTGCTTGAAAATATCATTTGTTGTATATTGTTTATCAGGAATCAAACACAATTAAACAAAATATTATCTACACAGTTTAAAATGTAACCTGTTGTCTTTTATATTTCCTTGAGCACAGCTTTTTGTTATCTAGAGCTATTCCTTATTCACCACTGCTCAGGGCTGAAAACTTCAATGTTTAGTTTAGAGTGTCCAACTGGTAATATAAGTTTTTTGAATTGCCTTGTTTCATTTTTAAATATCCTCTGAAATCTGTAAGATAGTATGTATTAGTAGGTTATCA